ATCTTTGTACCCCACCCTATTGAGATCCACTTGCAAAAATCCTGACTTATCCATTCGTACGCCATTATTATTTTCAACCCACTTGCAATCAAATACAGGAATCTGAAACTTCCCGTAATCAAACAACAAAATGCGCTCGATAACCCCAAAATATGACAGATTTACAAATTTCGGGTTTAAGTCATTCGCACTTGATATGTGCATCGCTTCAGCTACCAAGGTAACACCACTATTCTGCATAGTACTTTTATCATCCTGTTCTTTGGTATAAAATGTGTATCCATTAATTGCGTATGCGCTATAAGAAAACACAATCATACTTGGACCATATGCTAAACATCTCAACCTTTCTGTTACTGAAGCAGGATCCGAACGATACTTTGAATAAATTTGTTCCTTAAACCACGGTATGAAACTTCGATTGTGCTCTCGTACTATCCAATTCTCATTTCTATTCAGATTTAAACCTCGAAGAACACCCTTGTGCATTTCAGCATACGGCTCAACCTCAATCTCATTGTGCAGAACATACAAATGCACCTGATCCCGTTCGACCATTGACACTGTCACAACTTTATTTCCAATTAGTCTTTTTCCTTCTTTTTTCTCGACAATATGAGATTTGGGGAGTCCAATTGATTGAACATTTGACAGATATTCAGTGCAAAACTCAACCGCTTCTTCAACAATGTATCGTTCCGCAATACAACCCTCCGGTCGACTTCGGTTTTTCACGTACCCTTTTAAAATTTTCATATAACGTTCAGCAGGGTACATCCATCTCATATAAGCTGGTCCGCACAACTGTGTCTCTTTGACAAGATGAACGACTAGATGAACCATTATGTCAAAAAACGAGGGAGGAAAATACATTTCAAGCTCACATAAAGTAACAACCACCTCTTTTTGCAATGTTGGTAAGATCGCAGGATCGATCACCTTGCTGCATATTGACTTGAAGAAAAAACACAACTTAGTTATTGCGCTCCTTACTTTTTCTGGCAGAATAGAACGTATACCTATTGGTAGAAAATGTTCCATTATAACATGGCAATCATGAGTCTTTAAACTCTTTAACTTTAGGTCTTTCATTGACACAAGTCTTCTAATATATGATGAGTAGCCTTCTGGAACTTTAACTTCACTGAGGAACTTACACAATATTTTCTTCTCCTTTCTAGATAGAGTGTAAACAGCAGGTGGTAGATATGTGCGTCTTCCTTTCGTCACGGGTGCCAATTCAGTTCTAATTCCCATGTTTAACATGTCCTTCCTTATGTTAATGCCATCCTTAGACTTTCCTTGTATATTGAGTAACGTACCAATGACACTATCAAATACATTTTTTTCAATATGCATAACATCGAGGAAATGTCTTACGTACAACGACTTCCAATATGGAAGTTCAAAAAAAATCGACCTCTTCTTCCACCCACTCGTGACAAGTCTATGTGCAAAAGGCTTGCCAAACTCAGTACTCACATCTTTCACCTTTTCAAAAATCTGATCACCTGTCAACATATGTGGAGCTCTACCGTGTTCTGCCTCTCCATTGAATGCCTTTCTCCACCCACGATAGTGATGATTAGAATTTAAGAATCTACGATGACCGAGAAAAACATTCTTCTGACAAAAGTTCAATCGCATCGTATCGGTTTCATCTTCACAAACAGGACACGCTTTTTGACCCTTAATGCTGTACCCTGATAGATTTCCGTACGCCGGAAAATCATTAATTGTTCCAAACAACATCGCCCTCAAGTTGAAACTTTCTTTCCTATACCCATCGTAAACCTCCACACCGGTCTCCCACAAAAACTTCAAATCTTCGACTAAGGGTGCCAAGTACACGTCTATGTCATTCCCTGGTTGTTTGGGCCCAGAAATTAACATAGATAGCATCATGTACTTACGCTTCATACATAGCCACGGAGGTAGGTTATATATCATAAGAATCACAGGCCAGGTGCTATGCGAGATACTTTGAATACCATGCGGGTTCATTCCATCAGTAGACAACGACAAGCGAAGATTTCTTGCTTCTTTTCCAAATTCAGGATAATCAATATCAACTTTCGTCCACTGTGGTGAGTCTGCCGGATGTCGCAACTTCCCATCAATAATTCTTTCATCTGCATGCCAAGTCAAGTGTCTTGAATCGGTCTCACTACGATACATGCGCCTAAATCTCGGAATTATAGGAAAATACCATAACACCTTTTCCGGAGACAACTTTTCCTTATATCGAGGGGCACCGCATTTAGGACACTCATTTAACACTGCGTACTCGTTTCGAAATAAAACGCAATCTTTTGGACATGCATGTATCTTTTCATAGCTCATGCCAATAGAGGACAACATCTTTTTGGCCTCATACGTTCGATTGGGAAGAACATTATCCTCTGGTAGCATTTCTTTCACGAGGGCTAATAACTGTGTGAAACTTTTATCCGACCATCCGTTGTCCGCCTTTAAGTTGTACAACTTTAACACCGCAGACAATCTTGTGAATTTTGTACAACCATCATACAACGGTTTCTCTGCATCGCTTACCAACCTCTCGAACATTTTGGGACAATCCTCAAGATCTTCTTCAAGCGCTTCTGCAATCTCTTCGACTCGATCATAATCGTATGCGTCTGCGAAATCCTCATTTGAAGCATACGTCGTATTATAACTCGATTCAACATTCCCGCTACTTTTCTCACCATGCAAATTCCAACATGCATAACTTCTATCAATTCCATGCATCAGTAAATGCGATTCCAACTGAACCGCGTCAACCCGTCTCCCATAACAGCATCTCAAGCAAGGACATATCATTCCATTGGGTTCTCTGGCGTGCGCAACGGCAAACTTAACGAATTCTGATACCCCATCCTCATACTCTTTCGACAATCGATTGGCAGTCATCCATTTTTTATCCATGGTTTGACTATAGCAACTAATTCCTCCACCCTTCAATCACATACTTCAACAATATATTTGGCAAAAAAAAATGACATGTCATAATATTTATTCAATATTACTGTAATTTCAAAAAAAAAATCATAATAATTAATAAAGTAGTTACGATGTAAAATTATTTGACTTAACCATCATTATTATTACAGAAGTTGAAGAAATATAATTTCAGTTAAATTAAAATAATTAAATTTTGTACATACATAAATAACAACGTGGATATATTTGAATTGACAATCATTTAAAGAATTTTAATAATAAGTAGTTAAATAATAATAAATAATAATAAAAAATTCAAATTAAATACAATCATTATAATTAGTATTTATTATAATTGGTCCATTATAGTTAAAAAAGTTGAATAAATAAGAGTAATACGCTAATTTAATTTTTTTGAATTTGTTCTTTATTTATATTCTTGAATTTAATATAATTAGCATTATATAAACTATACTTATATTCTTGAAATTTCTGTATTTCATGCTTCATATTAATATTCATTATCAAGCCAACATAATATATTTATTAAGCTGAAAAAATTAACAAAATATATTTAACAAATTATATTTAATTTAATCTACTTTCATCCTTCATAAACATCTTAACCATATATAAATAAACATCACATAACTTATATAAATAATTTATTAAATCCGTAATTATATAAATTTCAAACATTTAGTTTTAATATAGGAATCTCATTAAACTTAGCATTGAAACCATACTTCAAAAATACATTAAACAACTGTTTTAGCGAAATAACCAAAACATGTCCAAATATTTAAAACTTCCTAAATTAAACATTCTTACAAAGAAAGTTTACCAAAAAACTTGAAATCCATTAAATCCTCCATTTGTTTCAATTATTTAGTCCAATCTTTACTTTTTTTAGTTGGTTTGAAACATCAAACTTTAAAGTAGTCGCTACAATGACAGAGAATTTACTAATGACAACCCAAAAATGAAAATAAATAAAATGAAGTAATACTATTTATTTAAAGCCAACATTTTATTTACACAGCATAGCATACTCCTTTTTAAATTTGCAGATTGTTAATAATTCAGAGCTTATGTAGTATCATATAAGGAAATATATAACCATTAAAATTAATAAAGAAAAACTCACTCATAATCTAAAATTATCCTCATTAATGCATGATCAGATCATGGACTATTGGACTATTACACAGATAAAGTAACAGTGAAAGATGGTGGTTGATATTATCCAACCTATATTAGTAAAATGTTGGTATTTTATTATGTTCTTCATCTCAAGGAATCCAATTTCATAACTGAAAATAATTTTAGAATTGAAAACAAATCTATTATCTTTATTCTAGTAACATATAAGCATGATCAAACACTCAAAATATGAATGACAGTGAAATGGATTATGGCAAGCAGAGAGTTAATGAGAGAGATAGATAATAGATATATAGCTAGATGTATATTTGATAGGATAAAAAAACATAACATATTGTTATTTTACTAAGCTTCTTTTGTACTGTGACCTTCACCTTTTATCTTTCTGTTCATTGGGCTTGATTTTTGTATATTGTCTCAAGTAATATTCCATAAATAAAGCTTTCCACGCGCTACTTATATTTAGTATATTCATCAGAATAGATTGACCAATTTTCAAGTTATATGTGAGATTTCCATTTGTTGCACTTAAGATGCTACCTAAGTAATAAGAGCTTATCCTTGTGAACTTAAGGTACAGAGTTCAAATGAGATAAGAAGTTGCATTCCTTCCATATATATGAATCAAAATATAATAATCAAGATTAACTAAATCTTTAGAATAAACTTTTGATAAGTACACAAGGAATCACACACAAATCATCTAAAAGAGGGAAAAACACAAATGAACACCAACAACTTAAGTACTTGTGAATTTTAAGCTAGTATACACCTAAAATTAGGACCCGTAAATCCAACTTCATTTTCCTAACCCTCTAACATACCCTTAATTAGGAACAATCATGTAGAACATTTCACAAACAGTTAATATGCAATATCTAAAACTAAGAAAAATGAGTAAGAATTCTTACCTCAAACCAAAGAAATGGAAAAAGTGAAATGAACTTTTAGATCTTTCCTCTAACAAGTAACAGCCAACCTTCAAAATCCCTTGGGTTTCGTTCTTGCTAACTGTTGAAGGGTTTTGTAATAACAAGAACAAACACTCTAGTCACGATGTACACCAAAAACAACAATTACAGAAGCACAGGCTTTAATGATAGGAACACTTACTTGGATTGAAAATTTGAATTAGTCGTGGGCCGAAGATTCGACGGTGATGGTGCTAGGCGTTTGGAGTTACAACGGAGGAGAAGATGAATAAACTGGGTTTCGTTTTCTGTAATGAAGAAATGAAGAAATGAAGAAGATTTAGGGATTTTTAATTTTATTATAAAAACAACCTACGAAAGCGCTTTTAAAAAGCGCTGGCATAGGTCCCCCTTTCAAAGCGCTTCTGAGGTAAAAAGCGCTTTCGTAGGTCCCCCTTTCAAAGCGCTTTTCAAAAGCGCTGGCATAGGGTTCCCTACCAAAGCGCTTTTCAAAAGCGCTTTCGTAGGTTAGATATTTCAAATACCTATGAAAGCGCTTTCTGAAAAGCGCTTTGGTAGGGAACCCTATGCCAGCGCTTTTAAAAAAGCGCCTTCGTAGGTTTCCCTTTTTTTTAATTTTGTTTTTTGTGAAGGCTATGGCAGCGCTTTTTCAATAAGCGCTTTAGTAGAGGCGCTGCTAAAACTTGTTTTTGGCGTAGTTGCACCGATAAAAATATATATATATATATATATATATATATATATATATATATATATATATATATATATATATATATATATATATATATATATATATATATATATATATATATATATATATATATATATATATATATATATATATATATATATATATATATATAATGTTCAACTAACCCTTGAATGCATGATATTTCGTCATTGTTCAACTTCTCTCGCCTACGCCGCCGTTCTGGCCCCCGTGTCGCCCACGCCGCTCCGCCGTCTCGCCTACGCCGCTCCTCACAGATTTCACGTCTCCTCCTCGATGCCGGCTGCACGAAGACATCCTCCGCCGTCCGTTTCGCCGTCCGTTCGCCGTCTTCGAAACATCCTCCACCGTCCAACTACGATTCCGGTACGAAACTTTCTATTTTTTTCAACTTCATTGTATATCTAAGGTTGGGACACTGCCGCAAACGCAAACACGGAGGTTGCAGTTGCTGACTTGGCATCAGTGGAGGGAAGTGAAAAAATGTGATGGATGATGCCTCAGTCGTAGATGAAATTGTTGTGGAGGAGAAAGGGAATGAAGGAGCTGATGTTGATATGGAGTCTTTCGTTTTTCATTTTTCCGATCTAATGTTTCTGATCTCGTGTTCATTTTTGTTTGTTAGATTGAAGCCCAAGAGCGTTGGTTCTGGAACTAAGAAATCGAAGAGAGCTGCGAAGAATCCTAACAAGCCTAAGAGGCCTCCAAGTGCTTTCTTCATTTTCATGTATGTTTTCATACTGAAAATCTTTCGATCTACTTTGTTTTTGTTGATATGAGTTTTCAAGGTGTCTTTTTCGTTCAACGTACTTCATCTCTTTCAAAGGTAACCAATCAATAACGCATATAGTTTATTTCCCTTAATTAATTGTACTATAATTTTATTTTATTTTTTTCACCGTCTTTACTCTTCTTAGTATAACAAATATTATAGCTAATGTTGTGACCGTAGAGATGGCGGCACCAGTTAGGATGGTGTCTCAATGACTTTTGGTGATGAACATGTGGTTTCATTGAACTCGTCTCTGATTGTTGCGCACAATAGTACTATAGTGCACCATAGCATAAGTTGCACCACTTCATCTATGATGAGTAATTATGCTTCTAGTTTTAGTCGACAGTTAGAATTATCGACTAGCGCCGCAACAACACAGGTTGTCTTTATAACTGAAAGGGGGAAAGCATTTGATCTATTGCATACAAGGAATGTTTTGTTAGCTGATAAGGTTGTGGCTGTTAATGTTGGTTGCGGTGGCGGTGGCGCAGCATCGTGTGAGACGGAAAATTTGGCTGGCATTGTCGGTGGTGTATCGGGTGCATCGTGTGAGACGGCAAATTTGGCTGAACCTGAGAATAGGCACGGGGCTTAAGTTCCTAAACTATTTGGGGTTTCTATTGGACTTAAACGATGTAGGATATAGTGTGAGGCTGAATTAGAGAGAGAGGAACGATAACAATATCAAATGTCAATGCAAATGCAGATTCAAACACAATCATCTCAGGAACATGATTAGCATCAAACGCCAATGCAAATGCAGATGCAAACACAATCCTCTCATGAACATGATCGATGATCTAATGTGAAATCTGAACTGCATGATGGTAACGATGACTCGGATGATCAAGAGCATCATTGGGATTTGATGAAATAGAGCAATGCATTATTAAAGTAATGTGTCACTACCACTAATGTTTTGTATGTTTTGTATATTTTGATCACTTCATTTTGTTGATGTTCCTTCTCATAATTTCACTGTGGAGTATTTTGTTTATACTCAGACTGGCGAATACCCGATGGGAACATTAACTCTTGATTCTGCCACGACAAGTCTTCTTTAGCTTGACACATAATTTTTTTTGTATTGTTTCTAAAATGTTCCCCCTTCTTATAGCAACCACGTTTTCAATTTCTTTTACCGTCTTATAGTACTACATCGTCACTTTTGTCCTGTCAAAGATTTGATGTTTCTTATGAAATTTTACATACTCATGTTTCATAACCGACTATATCAATATTATTTTTCAATAACTAATTTTAAGTGACAAAATTCACATATTGAATGTAGAGATGACAGTATAAGTATTGCGGGTTCGAGCTGGTGTTTCAGCTCATCAAACATATTGACAATGTTTTATCATTTGAGATAAGTTACAATACATTCATGGTTTTTGTTATTTGCAGGATTCGGGAAAAAGGAGACGGTGCTTATATCCATACTCGCAAACCGAAATGCAACCCAAAGGAAACTTCTGAGGCTAGCTTATCAAGAAGTCTATCATCAAGATCTTATTGAACTGCTCAAATTTGAACTCTCAGGAAACTTTGAGGTAAAAATATTACAAGTCATAACACTAATATACTATATTCATTGAAATATGTTTAAAACTCTATAACAATAAAATAATGTAGCTATATATGTTAGAATGAACATTCTAATTGTGAAATATGTATACCATTGAAATCTAAGAGCTATTTGCCTTTGGATAATTGATCCAACTGAAAGAGAAACCACACTGATTAATGAGGCATTAAAGAAGGCGCCTAGACAGTGACAACTCTCGAGCATTTTTCATATAGTTGGATAGCTTAAGGGACCTACATTAAATTAAACACCTCTTATTGTCGGTATCGGTGTTGCGATCTTCTTTTGGGCGCCTTCGCGACTCCTTTAATATAACACTCGGTCGTGGCGAGATCACCATTATCAAGCAAGTGGTTCATAGGAATCGATTTGATGCAGACTTTCTCATTTAGAGATATTACAAAACCCATACTCTAAATTCACAAAGAGAACCGTGATTAGCTTATCGTCGATCTGCCGCGTAACTTTCTTTCCTCCCTTAATTTCCTGCTACGCTTGGCGCCTTCAAAGGTGACATCGAGGATTAGCGAATGAAAATCAGTTCTTATATGATATTGTTGCAAATGGTCGCAATGGAATTCATGTTGACAAGTAAGTTGATACTTTTCACCCACCCTATTTCCTCTCCCGATGCACAATTGTCATTGATATCTAATCTCCTAAACATAGAACCTTAACGGATTCAAGAATTTGCATGTTTTGATTACATTTTTCGTGATTCACGTGTGCGTGGCCTAGGGTGCAACTTTCAGCCTGAAAGGTGTTTATTTTTATTATCTATGAGGTTTTATTTTGTTGGGTCGGATGTTCTGACAGGATGTGACAGCACAGTTGGACACCAGCGTAGCAACAAAGGCTTCTTATTGAATTAAAACCCATACTTCGTTCCATGCCTATTTTCTTAATACGAGCTTGGTAATTAATTATAACTTGATTCAAATTTATTGACTTTTCAGATTGATGGAGACCATGCAAGTTTTGGATGCCGAAATTTGTTATCGTGCTAAAGATTATTAGTGCTTACTAAAAACTTTGCTCTCACTGTTAGTGCAGAAAACTGTAAATTATATACACTATCATTGTTTGAAATGTTGGTCAGATCTGACAATTCACAAGTCATTTGCAACCTGTGCTGATTTGCATCGAACAGTCTATGCACATGCAAAAGTAAAGGTGAAATGTTTCACCGAAATTCTATTTGTGTTCAGAGAGAAAGCACAATATCATTTTTTCTGTTTCCTTTGTCAGGCTATAGAGTTGATGGTCATTGATGCATTGGTGAAAGCAAGTCCATATCTTCCTATTGCATCCTCTATTGATCAACCATCTGACTTTTGGAAGGTCTTGAATATATTACAAGCTTTTGATGTTAAGAATTTTTATTTATCAATTTGGATCTGACACTCTTACATTTTAGTTAGATGACTCTATTCTTAAAAAAAATTGAGTCTTCTTCCCAGCAAGAGTTGAAGGAGGGTAGAGACTTGATTCTGCGCATTGATAGAAGAGATGTTTACCAGGTACATGTACGGTACCTGATTTATTTTTTGGATAGGTGCTTAACTATTGTTATTTTTTTGACAATCTTTTTGATAGGTAGATATAATTTAATATTTTATGTAGATAGTAATGATAATACATCAATAGCATATACTGTCAAATTGATGCAACCATTTACTCCATTTTGTAGTTCTGCAATGAATTCTCTATTCCCAAGGAAATTGTCAACAACTTCAAAAGCATCACACCCCAAGACATTGTTTGTTAACAGGTCTAATAAACATGTTTACATATCTCCTGTAAGTGCCGATAATCATGCTATTGGATATAATTTCATATTGACTCTAATTTTCTGCTACTTTGGCATTGTTGCGTTAATTCGTTACACAAAGGGCGATACTTTGAAGGCATGATGGTTTTACGACATTGCTTCTATAGCAGAGACAATCCCATCTCTCTTCAGGCAGTTTTTGGTACCAATGACGCATTTAATGACCATGGCAAAGGGAGGGTTATTAGATATGTGTTTCTTAGTGTTAATATGTAATGGTATATTCTTTTCATTTGTCCTTCTGGTGTAATTGATAATCTGTCAACGTGTTGTTGCATATCTTATACTAATATTTTAATAACAACAATTATTTTTGCTGGCCTGGAAGACAATTGTGTGGTCTTATACTAATATTTTAATAACAACAATTATTTTTGCTGGCCTGGAAGACAATTGTGTGGTCTGGAGAGCGTATTACAGTGGTGGTCAATTATTTGTTGGCTTTTTCGCGTGATCTTGAGTCTGAAGTAAACTGGTTTTCAATTCAATTTTTATCTATGATTTTATTACATGATGAAAATAATTCTGTTTAGTTTGTTACAAGTTTGTTACAATTCTGTTTAGTTTGTTACTAAACAGTTTGTTACTTTAACAATATATATAATACTGTTATGTACATTCCATAACATGATAAATACTATGAGTTTATTCCAAAATTAACATGGTATCAGTTTGAATTCTCTTTTCCGCGCCTTTCTTCTTCGCGCCTTCTTCTTCTTCGCGCATTCGCGCCTTCTCCTTCCTTTGCTGCATCAGCTTGTTATGGCGCTTCCTTACTCTGATTTTGCTACCAATCCTTCCAATCCTTACTACATGCACCCTAATGAGAATCCCTCTCTTGTTCTTGTTCAACCTGTTCTTGATACCAAGAACTATCAGATCTGGTCCAGATCAATGAAAGTGGCTCTTATCTCCAAGAACAAGATCAAGTTCGTTGATGGCACTCTTTCTCCTCCACCTATCTCCGACTCTCTATACGAACCTTGGCTACGATGCAACTCAAGTGCATTCGTAGTGATAATGGCCCTGAGTTTCTCATGACCACTTTCTACCTTTCGAAAGGAATCATTCATCAAATGTCTTGTGTGGAAACGCCTCAACAGAACGGTATCGTGGAAAGAAAACATCAGCACATTTTGAATGTTGCCCGTGCCCTCTCTTTCCACTCTCACCTCCCTCACAACCTTTGGCACCTTTCCATACAACAGGTCATTCATATTATAAACCGTCTTCCCACTCCTCTTTTAAACAACCACTCTCCTTACCAAAAACTCCATTCTACTCCTTCCAGCCTTAACCATATGAGAGTCTTTGGTTGTCTTGCCTACTCTTCGACCTTGCTTAATCATCGCACCAAATTCGAACCAAGAGCAAGAAAATCTATTTTTCTTGGCTACAGGGAAGGCACAAAAGGCTACCTTCTCTATGATCCTATCACACATGAATTGTACATTTCAAGGAATGTATTCTTTTATGAAACTGTGTTCCCTTTTGCATCCATCCCACCTGCACCTAATCCTATAATCCCTACTCCTGACCCTCCTTCCCTTGATTCACCTAATATTTTCACCAACATTCCACCCAACTTACCTCCACAATCAAATGAACCTTCCTCTCCTACCTATGTCCCCCAACTAGATTCTCCCAATAACCTCTCTTCTTCCTCAAATGACTCTAACAACTCCCCTTGCCCCTCCCCTCCTGTGCCAACCCGAAAATCCAAAAAGCAGTCTACAGTATCCAAATCAAGTTCAGAAGCAGAATACAGGGCCTTGGCAAGCTTGACTTGTGAACTGCAATGGCTGTAGTTTCTGTTCAAGGATATCCACATCTCCTTCGATCAACCTAGCTCAGTCTATTGTGACAAAAAAAGTGCTATCTACCTTGCTCACAACCCCACCTTTCATGAACGGACAAAACATATCGAAATTGACTGCCACGTCATTCGTGAGAAAATCTAAACTGGTCTCATCCATCTTTTACCAGTTTCTTTTGCTGCTAAATTGGCAGATGTTCTCACCAAGCCTTTGGCAGCCCCCTCTTTCGATTCTCTTGTTTCCAAGCTTGGTCTATTAGACATCCATAGTCCAGCTTGTGGGGGGCTATTACATGATGAAAATAATTCTGTTTAGTTTGTTACAAGTTTGTTACAATTCTGTTTAGTTTGTTACTAAACAGTTTGTTACTTTAACAGTATATATAATACTGTTATGTACATTCCATAACATGATGAATACTATGAGTTTATTCCAAAATTAACAGATTTACAGGTCGTTGTCTCCCGCCTTTGCATCAGATTCGTCATTGGAGTCAATCAGTGCACCATCTCAGATAGGGCTGTTAATTGTTGGCAGTAATTTGGTGTTGATTCATTTTAATTTAAAGCATTTCCGTTAGCTTCTTATGTCAAGTCTGTTTTATTCTCTTTAATGACAGTGGGGTGCTTCAAAATTCTGTGTTGAAACCATAAGGTATCATGTTTCTCTCTGGTAAGTTTTTTTATGGTTTATCTATTTATTGTTCTCATCTTTGTCTTGCTTTGACAATGAAACTCTTGTGAAACACGACTTCAACTACAGTGGCAAAGACTTCATTTATTCAAGTTTTCATTTCACTTAAGTGAAACTCTTGGTCACTTATTGACTTATCAACGCAAAGTGTCGATGTTATCATGGTAAAGGTATGGCAGGGAAATCAACATCAGTAAAACTTGCCTAAGACATTGACACTGCTGTTAAGAAATTACATATATGTTTTTAATTTAATTTTTTATTTTATGATGGAGAAACCTTATAACAAGGCATGCATGGGGAAAAAATAAATTTTGGTCAATTATGAAGCAAATTTTCATGGGTATTATTAGAGTTTGGAACTTGAGAATCTCAAGATAATACACACACTCCAAATTTGATATTTTATATTTTTAACTATTATGATTATTATCAATGTATCATTCCTTTATATAAGTGTTCTTGCTACAACTTGATGTAAGCTCTTTTGTTTATACAATGATCATAAGGTTGTGATTCTATTTGTTTACTTGAAATGAGCTTTCGTCGACATGGTTATTATTAGGATGAAGTTATGAATCTATCTCCCA